TAGGTGAGCCTGGGAGGCTTTCAGAATTTCCGGCGTGAACCACCGTGCTCGTGCTGTTTTTCTGTCGAGTATGTAAAATTATACTCAGTTCTTAGATGGGTAAATGGAGGCTTAGAGAGGGACCATTGCTTGCCCTGGTGACACAGCAGGAGGGATCCAGGGCTAGGACCCAGCCCCCACCTGATTCCACAGTCAGAAGGATGTGTGTTTGTTGCTACTTTTACCTTTGAGTCTACATGGGCAGATCTACCTCCCTTTGAGCTGGGAAAGAGCAGGGACAAGGCCTGCTGTGCTCACCTGTATCTTAGTGCCCAGCCAGGCACTGGGGTTACAGCGGGGAAAAAACAGAAAGAAAACCCCGGCCCTACAGAGCTGCTGTGGGGGTGGGGGGCAGGGTGAGGCATAGACCTAGGTTTCACTTAGAGTAATAATGAATAGAAGTTATTTTTAAAAGTTTTCCAGGAAAAGCTATTGCCAGGCAGGCCCTTGGGAACAGTGACTCCAACTTCATTCCATAAAAGGGGCAACTGAAGTCGGAAAGGAGAAGAGACTTGTCTAGGGCTACATAGGTCACTTAGTGGCCAAAATGGTTGCAGTCGATATGGATGAGTATTTAAGGGTCTCCCTTTTAAGATTTTCGTGCTTACAAAAAGCAACAGCTGACACTTATTTGCGCACTTATGAGTTGCTGGACTCTGTTCTCGCCACTTTACGCGTATTGACCCGTTTAATCCTCTCCACCTGTATTAGTCTGTTTTCATGCTGCTGATAAAAGACTTACTTGAGACTGGGTAATTTATAAAGAAAAAGAGGTTTAATAGCCTCACAGTTCCACGTGACTGGGGAGGCCTCACAGTCATGGTGGAAGGCAAAAGGCACGTCTCACATGGCCGCGGGCAAGAGAGAATAACAGCCAAGCTAAAAGGGAAACCTAAAAACCATCAGATCTCCTGAGACTTACTCACTACCACAAGTACGGGGCAAACTGCCCCCATGATTCAAATATCTCCCACCGGCTCCCTGTCACAACATGGGGGGATCATGAAGTTACAATTCAAGATGAGATTTGGGTGGGGACACAGCCAAGCCATATCACCAGCTGTCTTTGAGAAATGGAGGCACCGGGGGGTTAAGTAACTTACTTGGGCTGGGCTCAGTGCTGCTTACCTGTGATCTCAGTACTTTGGGAAGCTGAGGTGGGAACATCGCTTGAGGCCAGGAGGTTGAGAGCAGCCTGGGCAACATAGGGAGATCTCGTCTCTAGTAAACAAACAAAAAAATAGCTGGGTGTGGTGGTGTAGACTGGTAGTCCCTGCTACTTGGGAGGCTGAGGCAGGAGGATCGCTTGAGCCTGGGAAGTTCAGGCTGCAGTGAGCCATGCTGCTTCCACTGCACTCCAGCCTTGATGACAGAGTGAGACCCTGTCTCATAAAACAGTCATGCAAACAAACAGGCCGGGCGTGGCGGCTCACACCTGTAATCCCAATGCTTCGGGAGGCCGAGGCGGGTGGCTCACTTGAGGCCAGGAGTTCAAAGCCACCCTGGCCAACATGGTGAAACCCCGTCTATACTGAAAATACAAAAATTAACTGTACTCAGTGGCTCATGCTTGTAATCCCAGATGCTTGGGAGGCTGAGGCAGAAGAATCTCTTGAACCTGGGAGGCGGAGGTTGCAGTGAGCTGGGAGGGCGCCATTGCACTCCAGCCTGGGCAACAGAGTGAGACTCCATCTCAAAAAAAAAAAAAAGATTTTAGTATATTCACAGAGTTGTCCAAATATCACAATGAACTCTAAAACATTTCCATCACCACCTAAGGAAACCCTGCACCACAGCTGTCATCCTCCAACCTTCCCAGTGCCTGGCAACCAATAATCTATTTTTGCCTTCTGTAGATTTGCTAATTCTGGACATATCATATAAATGGAATCATAGAATACACGGCCTTTAGTGACTGGCTTCTTTCACTTAGCTTATGTTGGAGAGTAGTGATGCAATCATCGCTCCCTGCAGTCTCTAACTCCTGAGTTCAGGTGATCCTCCCAACTCAGCCTCCTTGGAAGCTGAGATTACAGGTACATGCTACCATGCCTGGCTAATTTTTCGATATTTTTTGCAAAGACAGGGTCTTGCCATATTACCTAGGTTGATTTCAAACTTCTGGGCTTAAGCAACTTGCCCGCCTCGGCCTCCCAAAGTGCTGGGGTTACAGGCGTGAGCCACTGCACCTGGCCAGCATGCTATTTTCAACTTCCATCCATGTAGCAGGTATTAGTACTTCATTTCCTTTTATTGACAAATGATCGATAGATAGTCCATCGTCTGGATAGACCACATTTCGTTTGTCCATTCATCAGTTGACGGACATGTGTGTTGTTTCCACTTTGGGCCATTATGAATATTGCCTCCGTGAACATTTCTGTATGTGTTTTTGTGTGTTTTCATTGCTCTTGGGTATACAGCTAGGAGTGGAATTGCTGCGTTATGTGGTAACTCTATGTTTAACCTTGTGAGGAACTGCCAGGTTTTAGTTTTGTTTTTGAGACAAAGTCTCATGCTGTCACCCAGGCTGGAGTGCAGTGGCGCGATCTCGGCTCACTGCAACATTCGCCTCCCAGGTTCAAGCGATTCTCATTCCTCAGCTCCCAGGTAGCTAGGATTACAGGTGTGTGCCATCACGCTTGACTAATTTTTGTATTTTTAGTGGAGACGGGGTTTCACCATGTTGCCCAGGTTACTCTTGAACTCTTGACCTCAAGTGATCCACCCGCCTCAGCCTCTCCAAGTGCTGGGATTACAGGTGTGAGCCACCGATCCTGACCTGCCAGCTTGTTTTCTAAAGTGACTGCACCATTTTGCATTCCCACCAGCATATGAGGGTTCAGATTGTTCCACATACTTGCTATTATATGGGGACAGTTTGAAACAGGGTCCTTTTGGCTGCTCTGTGGGCAACAGGCTGAGGGGGACAGGTAGAAGGTAGGAGCTCAATGCACAGGTCATTGTAATGGTTCAAGCAGGAGGGAACAGTGTCTGGACCCAAGTGGGGACAGCAGAGAAAGTTAGAGGGACTGGATTCTGGAGTTGCTTTGAAGATAGAGCCAATAGGATGTCCTGCTAGGTCACTTGTGGAGTGTGAGAGGAGGGGAGTCAAGGATGACCCCAGGCGGGGCATGGTGGCTCACACCTGTAATCCCAGAACTCTGGGAGGCAAGGCAGGCAGAGTCCTTGAGCCAGGCGTTTAAGATCAGCCTGAGCAACACAGCGCGAGACTGTCTCTACAAACAATAAAAATGCTGGGCACGGTGGCTCACACCGGTAATCCAGCACCATGGGAGGCCGAGGAAGGTGGGTCACTTGGGGTCAGAGTTTAAGACCAGCCTGGCCATCATGGTGAAATCCCAACTCTACTAAACGTACAAAAAAATCTAGCCCAGTTTGGTGGCGCGTGCCTGTAGTCCCAGCTACTCAGGAGGCTGAGGCACGAGAATGGCTTGAGACTGGGAGGCCGAGGTTGCAGTGAGCCGAGACTGGGCCACTGTATTCCAGTATGGATGATAGTGAGACTCTGTCTCAAAAAAACAAACAAACAAACAAAAAACAGCCGGGCGCGGTGGCTCACGCCTGTAATCCCAGCACTTTGGGAGGCCGAGGCGGGTGGATCACGAGGTCAAGAGATCGATGGTGGTGTGTGCCTGTAATCCCAGCTACTCAGGAGGCTGAGGCAGGAGAATTGCCTGAACCCGGGAGGCGGAGGTTGCGGTGAGCCGAGATTGCGCCATTGCACTCCAGCCTGGGTAACAAGAGCGAAACTCCGTCTCAAAAAAAAAAAAAAGACGTTAGCTGTTTGTGGTTGTGCATGCTTATAATCCCAGTTACTGGGGAGGCTGAGGCAGGAGAATCACTTGAGCCCAGGAGTTCCAGGCTGCAGTGAACTATGATTGCACCACTGCAGTTCAGTCCCGACAGGCAAGACCCTGTTTCAAAACAACAAAAACTCAGATTTACCGTCACTTGAGAAGGGTAAGCCTGAAGTAAGAGCGAATTTGGTCTATGGAATCAGCTCAGTGTTAGATGCGTTGAGTTTGAGAGACCCACTAAACACCCAGGCGATTGGGTATTTGATCCTGGAATTCACTCTTACCTGGAATTACTTTTTTGGTGATTTCTTGAATAATTAAAGTCAGAACGGAATCCGAATCCAGGGCCTCAGTTTCCTCCTCCAAAAAATGGGGACCATAGTACCGTCAAGCGCTAGGTTGTAATGAGGCTGGGGGCACAGGGCAGGAACTGAGGTCATCTGTTGCGGTCTGCTGCTCAGGAGAGGAACAGAGGCTGCGCTCTCAGCAGGCAGTGTCCGTCTGTCCGTCTGCCCCTTCCCCCAGCTTCTGGCTGCGGTGGAGAAGCGGGAGGGAAGATTGGGTCGTTACCCTGTCTTCCCCGCTCTGAGCTGGGTTTCCTCCACGGGGTCTGCCCAGGCCAGACTGCTGATAGAAACCAGCTGCGCCAGGCGCGGAGGCTCGGCGCACGCCCAGGCCCCTCCTCGGCGCCGGCGGACCCCGATGGGGGGCGGGGAGCGCCTTGGCTCCCCTCCCCTCTTCCGCAGCCGGGCCTGGGGCCCTGGCACGTCCGGCGCGCCTGATGCTTTCCAGATGTGGGCTCGGTTTCCCTCCTCTATTTGGCCCCGTTGCGCCCGCAAGGGGACGGGGGAGGGGAGCCAGGATCCGAGACGCAGATCTCTACCAGGGACTTGGGTCAGGGTCCCCTCCCCGCCCATTTCGCTTCCCAAATTTCGGTGAAAACCGAATTAAGGTGGGCTGACTGCGGTAGAGGCGCTCCTCCCCCACCCCCACGTCTTCCCAGCGCTCCCGCCTTCTCCAGGTCCAGAAAGAACTCCAAGCCCCGCCCATCGGAACACGCCCCCACCGGGACACGCCCCACCTACACCCAGGGACACGCCCCTTAAATCCCCGCCCCCGAACCCCGCCCGTTCGGTCGTGCCTCAGCCGACCCCGCCTCCGCCGTCGGGTCCCCACTGGAAGGCACCCTCTGTGCGTCTCTTTGTCTCTCTGGCCGCCTCTGCCTCCGTCTCCGTGTGTCTGTGTCTTCGTGCCTGTGTCTGACTCCGCATTTCGGCTTGGGTGTCTCTCTCCTATCCGCGTCTCTCTGTGTCCTGTCTGTCTCTGCCTCGTGTCCCTGTCTCTGCAGCGCCCTCCCCTTCTGTGTCTCTCTGGGTCCCTAGCTCTGTCCCTCTCTAAATCTGTCCCTATACTGTGTACTGTCCCTATGGCTCCCGGCGTCCCTCTGACTCTCTCTGCATCGCTCTCCCACGTCTGTGAATTTCTCCGCGTCCATTTTCCGTCCTCTCCCTCCAGTCCCTGACTCCCTCCCGTGCCTCCTCTGGTCCCGAATCTCCCCTTCATCTCCTGCCGGGCCCTCCTCCCTGTGGCCACCTCCTCCAGAGACCTCTCGGGGCCGGTGGGCGGCTGGGCATGCTGCGCGCGCCCTCGTGTGGCCGGCAGGGGCTGCGTGTGAGCGCCAGAAGGGGAGTGCTGGGGAGCGAGGGACGCTGGTGTTCGTCGTGACACCGGGAAGTGGCGTGTGACACCGGGAGACTGTGTGTGTCCTGACGTGAGATGATGTGTGACACTGGGAGATGGCGTGTGACATCTGGAGAGTGTGTGAGTGTGCACTACTGTGAGATGGTGTGCAATGCCAGGATCAGGACACCCTCAGTGTGTACTGCCATGATGGCGTACTGGTGAGATGGTGTGTGATGTTGGGAGTCTGTGTGTGACTGATATTGTGAGATTATGTGCAATAAGTAGAGGCTGAGTGGGACTGCGTATGTCAAAGATGACATGTCCCTGGCTGTGACACTGTGAGATGATTGGTGATGCTGAGAGATGGTGGGTGACTGTGTGTGCGGATGAGAGGTTGTGTGTGATAGGGTGTGGGAGAGACACTCTTTGGGGCTCTGTATGTGACACTGAGAGACCATCTGTGGGAGTGAGACATCGGTATGTGTGAGGGGGCAGTGTGTGTGATGGTGAGCATACGGTGCTGTGTGTCACACAAGCAGACTGTGTGAGAGAGCGAGACTGATGACCAGTATATACTAAGAGGTGGTGTGGGCAATGTCATGAGAGGCTCACAGGAGGCCTGGGACAGACTGAGTGAGTCAGACAGTTTGTGCTGGCCACACTGCGTAAGGCTTGTGAAAAAGTGTGTGATTTGGGCACAGTACTGTAATCCCAGCACTTTGGGAGGCTGAGGCAGGAGGATCCATTGAGGCCAGGAGTTTGAGACCAGCCTGGGCAACATAGGGAGAACTTCATCTCTTCCAAAATAAAATTAAAAGAAATGAGCCAGGTGTGGTTACGCACGTCTGTGGTCCCAGCTGCTGGGCAGCTCAGGTGGGAGGATTGCTTGAGCCTGGGAGGTGGAGGCTGCAGTGAGCTATGATCGCACCACTGCACCCCACCCTGGGTAACAGAGAGAGAACCTGTCTTGAAAAACAACAACAAAACCCAAAGCTGTGTGACTACGTGTGACACTGAGCTCGTGAGAGATGGCAGTGTTGTGACAGCAAGTGTAAGTGTGTGCAGCTGTGCAGTCCATTCAGAATCAAGAGTGTGAGGGAGGCCATGTGTGTAGAAGGCAAGAAATTATGGACAGGCGGGAGTCAGTGTGTGAAACGCTGCGAGATTGTGTGGGACTCTGCGAGAGACTGAGCCATCGTGGGTAGCCAGGTATGACACCAGGAGATGGGGCGCATGCATGTGTGACAGGGACAGACTGTGTGTGGAGGGAATGTGTCAGATGTGAGTGACATCAGGAGACTGTGAGAATGTGACCTTCCGTGGGTGTCACTCAACAGGCGGCTGTGTGTTACTATGAAATACTATAAAATAGTGTGTACTTGACAGGTCGCATGGGTAATTACACGCCACCATGAGACACAGACAGTGTGAGACTGGGACAGGGTGTGAGACTGAGGGAGAAGTTTAAATGGCATACAGGGCCGGGCGCAGTGGCTCATGCCTGTAATCCCAGCATGTTGGGAGGCAGAGGCAGGTGGATCACCTGAGGTCAGGAGTTCGAGACCAGCCTGGTCAACATAGTGAACCCTATTTTTAGTCTCTACTAAAAATACAAAAATTAGCCAGGTGTGGTGGCGTGTGCCTGTAGTTCCAGCTACTCAGGAGGCTGAGGCAGGAGAATCGTTTGAACTCGGGAGGTGGAGGTTGCAGTGAGCCGAGATCCTGCCACTCCAGCCTGGGCGACAGACCGAGACTCCATCTCAAAAAAAAGGGGGGGCATGCAAATGTGTGTGACATTTGGAAATATTATATGTGACACTGTGACAAACTGCTGGCACGTTTGATGTTCTGAGATGGTTTATCTGACTGTGCAGCCCTGGGGTCGCCATTGGTAGTGGCTGTGTGTGGCATTTGGGGCGACCGCGTGAGGTGGTGTTGAGCAAGGTGATTTGTGAAACTGGGTGGTGCTACCGTGTGACAGAACAAGATAGTGTGTGTCTGTGTGAGGGACAGTGAGCAGGAGGCTGGTGGGGTGACACTGAGGTGGCGAGTGTGGCTGAGTGAGAGGCTCTGTGGGACATGCTGGGGAGGTCTGTGTGACTGTGGATCAAATGCAGCGAGGCCCAGGGCCCGTCTTTTCTGGTGAGTGTGAGAGAGGCACAGAGTCACAGAGGACAGCAGCAGCAGAGGCACAGGGAAAGGGACAAAGATAGGACTGCCAGACAGGAGAGTAGGCCCAGAGAGGCAGCCCCAAGGCTCGCAGCGGTGGCAGTGGGGACGGTGGCTGCGGGAGGAGGCGGGTCCTTACAGGCTGCACCCCAGGGGAGGGGGCGGGACAGGCTGGAGGGACCCAGATGCTGCTTCTCAGCCTCACCGCCGCCAGCTGGCCCCGTTCAGCAACAGGTAGGAAGCTCCGGTCCTGGCCCCACAGCTGGTCCCTTTGCCTGCTCCATGCCCACCGTCTTTCACCTGGGAATGAATGAATGAATGAGTGAGTGAATGAATGGCCTTATTCTTCTGCATCTCCATCAGCCTGCCTCTTGCTTTGTTCCTCTCTCCCAGGTCCTGGATCCATCTCTCCCCAATCCTCCATCTCCTTCTCTGTCTTGTCCCTTCTGTCCTCTGTCCCTCTATCTCCTTGTCTCTGTCCCTTTATCCCCTTGGTATCTCTCTGCTCCTTCCTCCATCCCTACTTCCTCCATCTCCCCTTCTCTCTCCATCTCCCCATCCTCTCCCACCCCACACCCCCTGCCTCCATCTCCCCATCCTCTCCCACCCCACACACCCTGCCTCCATCTCTCCATCCTCTCCCACTCCACTCTCCCTCCATCTCTCCATCCTCTCCCACCCCACACCTCCTCCCTCCATCTCCCCATGCTCTCCCACCCCACAGCCCTCCCTCCATCTCCCCTGCTCTGTCCCCTCTGTCCCTCTGTCCCCTCGGTGCCGGTTGCCTTGTACCCCCCTGTTCCTTGCTCCCCCCTCCATTTGTCCTTCTATTTTCTCCCATCACCTCATCCATCCCCCAGCCTCTCCCTCTGAGTATCACTCATCCTTCATTCTCCCCTGCCTCAGTCTCTCCCTCATCACTTTGACCCTGCCTCTGCGCCCCCCCCCATGTCTCTCTGTCCATCCAATCGGCCTCTCCTCGGGTGCCACGGTTGGGCTCCCCCAGCCCTCTCCCCTGGCTGCTAATGAGCAGAGGAGCCTTTGAGGTGGCCAGGGCTGGGTGGGGGGGCTCCCTGAGGGGGGCGGAGGGGGCAGCTGCTGCCAAGGCCCTAATGAGGCCCCCTCTGTGCCCCTCCTGCCGTGATCTTAATTCCCGGTTCTCCCTGGAGCCACCGCTAATTGGCCTGGGGAGGGGCCCCCTCCTGGCTGCCACTCTGCCCTCAGGGGGTGAGGACACCTGGATGCTGATCCAGCACCTGTGGCCTGTGCGTCTGTGTCAGCCTCCCATCTGTGCGCCCCTCCTTCCCTCCCTCGCCCCACCTGCCTTAGGTGCCTCCATCTGTGCACCCCTCCTCCGCTCCTCTTGTTCCTGTCCTCATCTGTCCCTCCCTCCACCTGCCTCTGGCCTTCCCATTCACCCGCCCTTCCACCATCGCACCTGTTACCAGGACCCACCCCCGTGTCCCCACCTCGGGACCCAGACGTATCCTAACCTGCCCCCACAGCCCCCACTCCCGCGCGGCTTTTAACCCCTTCCCTGCCGCAGCCATGTCCAACAACATGGCCAAGATTGCCGAGGCCCGCAAGACGGTGGAACAGCTGAAGCTGGAGGTGAACATCGACCGCATGAAGGTGCCGAGTCGGGGTGGGGGATAGGGCGGGGGTTCTGGGCCTGGAGTCTGCTCGGGGTTGGGTCGGCCCGGAGCCACAGTGCAAGGATGCCTCTTGCAAAGGGGCTGGGCAAGGGTGCCAGGGAAAGGGGCGGGGCCTCAGGGGGCGGCCCCAGGGAGCCGGGCGGGGCGTTGACATCTCCACCCGGGTGCTCGCAGGTGTCGCAGGCAGCGGCGGAACTCCTGGCTTTCTGCGAGACGCACGCAAAAGACGACCCGCTGGTGACGCCAGTACCTGCGGCAGAAAACCCCTTTCGCGACAAGCGCCTCTTTTGTGTTTTGCTCTGAGCCCTCCAGACAGCTTACCCTCCCCTGCCAAAGTATGGATCTAATAAACTTGGTCACTGTGGTGGTGCCTGTGTTTTCGGGGAAACTGAGGCACACAGAGCTTGGGGCCACCGTGGGGGAAGTTGTGTCCGTTCTCATTCCTTCTGCGTGTGCGTGTTGGCGGTGGGGGTGGATGTGGAGGAAGTACGACTCCACTAAAGCCTCGGAGGAGATGCATATTCCGTGCTGTCTCCTCCACGATCGATCCTGAACTTAATGGTCCCGACAGCCCCAGAAAGCGGCAGATTACTTGTTATGATACCCATGAGGAAACTGAGCCAAAGGAAGTCCCTTATTCAAAGTCACAAAGCTAGGAGGTAACAGGGCGTGGATGGGGTCCTTCAGTGCTTCCTGAACCCCTCTGCTGGCCTCTTTTCTCTCCTCCCCAATGGGTTGGACATTCTCAGGGTCCCGGTCCCCATCCCACACTTCTCACTCCTGAACCACTCCTTTTTTCACACCTGGTTCCCCTCTACTGAATGCTCACTTCTGTCCTAAAGCAGTGCACTTTTTTCTCTGCTCATGTGTTGATTCATTTATTCTTCCAAACGCTCCCTGAGTACCTACTCTCTGACCGGCCCTGTGTCGGACAATGCTAGGGACCTAGCTGTGACGAAGACAGCCCTGGACCTGCCCTGCCCTCTTGGGGCTGAAAGTCCAGGGGGAGCGAAAGGCCTGTCCCCAGATGGTGAAAACCCAGAGTGGGCAGCGCTGGGTGGGGGAGTGCAGAGGGAACTCCTGACTCAGCTTGGAGGTAAGGGAGGGCTTCCTGGAGGAGGCAACATCTGAGCTGGAACATCGTGATAGTAAAACTTGGTGACCCAGAGAAGAGAGAAACATGGCTAGAGCATATGTGTGTGTGTGTGTGTGTGTGTGTGTGTGTGTGTGTGTGTGTGTGTATAATTATTATTTTTTGAGATGGGGTCTTGCTCTGTCACCAAGCTGGAGTGCAGTGGCACGATCTTGGCTCACTGCAACCTCTGCCTCCTGGGTTCAAGCGATTCTCCTGCCTCAGCCTCCTGAGTAGGTGGGACTACAGGCACGCGCCACCATGCCCAGCTAATTCTTTTTGTATTTTTAGTAGAGACGGGTTTCACCATGTTGGCCAGGATGATCCTGATCTCTTGGCTCGCCTGTCTCAGGCATCTAATGTGCTGGGATTACAGGCATGAGCCACTGCCCCTAGAGGCTTGCAGTTATATTTGCATGGCTTTACATGATTTTCTTTTTTCTTTTTGAGACAGAGTCTCTCTCTGTCGCCAGGCTGGAGTGCAGTGGCGCAATCTCAGCTCACTGCAACCTCTGCCTTCCGGGTTCAAGCGATTCTCCTGCCTCAGGCTCCTGAGTAGCTGGGACTACAGGCGCACGCCAATACGCTCGACTAAATTTTGTATTTTTAGTAGGGACGGGGTTTCACCATGTTGGACAGGATAGTCTCTAACTCTTGATCTCATGATCTGCCTGTCTCGGCCTCCCAAAGTGCTGGGATTACAGGCGTGAGCCACTGCGCTCAGCCGGCTTTATATGATGTTTAATGTTCTTGGCCAGGCGCGGTGGCTCACACCTGTAATCCCAGCACTTTGGGAGGCCGAGGCTGGTGGATCATGAGGTCAAGAGATCGAGACCATCCTGGCACACATGGTGAAAACCCATCTCTACTAAAAATATAAAACATTAGCCAGGCGTGGTGGTGCACCCCTGTAGTCCCAGCTACTTGGGAGGCTGAGGCAGGAGAATTACTTGAATCTGGGAGGTGGAAGTTGCAGTGAGCTGAGATCATGCCACTGCACTCCAGCCTGGCAACAGAGCCAGACTCCACTTTGACTTGGCTGCCAAATTGAAAAAGAGGGATGTTCCACATGGCAGTCCGTATTTCTCTGGAATTGCAAAGTCTTCCCTGGAATTGTAAGGACTTCTCTGGAATTGTAAGGTCTGGTGACTCACAGGCTGTAAGGTAGAACCTGGGGTTTCCAGCTCACCAAAGTCTACACCATGCCCGACTGTCTCCTAGTCAATGAAGCTGGGGGCCAGTTGCCATTTAACCTGAACCCTAGGTTGGGGGCTTCTTCCAGAGAAATGAAAAATGAAATGATTGGGTGCAGTGGCTCACACCTATAATCCCAGCACTTTGGGAGGCCGAGGTGGGCAAATTACTTGAGGTCAGGAGTTTAAGACTAGCCTGGCCAACATGGTGAAACCCCGTCTCTACTAAGAATAATTGGCCAGGCGTGATGGCATGCACATGTAACCCCAGCTACTTGGGAGGCTGAGGCAGGAGAATCACTTGAGCCTGGGAGGTGGAGGTTGCAATGAGCCGAGATCACACCACTGCACTCCAGCCTGGGCGATAGAGTGAGACTCCATTTAAAAAAAAGAAAAAGGGGCCGGGCGCGGTGGCTCACGCCTGTAATCCCAGCACTTTGGGAGGCCGAGGCAGGTGGATCACGAGGTCAAGAGATCGAGACCATCCTGGTCAACATGGTGAAACCCCGTCTCTACTAAAAATACAAAAAATTAGCTGGGCATGGTGGCGTGTGCCTGTAATCCCAGGAGGCTGAGGCAGGAGAATTGCCTGAACCCAGGAGATGGAGGTTGCGGTGAGCCGAGATCGCGCCATTGCACTCCAGCCTGGGTAACAAGAGCGAAACTCCATCTCAAAAAAAAATAAAAATAAAAAAAAGAAAAAAAGAAAAATGTTCTGTGCCTCCAGTGAAAACGGGGAGAATGCAGGCTGGAGAAGCTGTGGTTTTGGCCAGTTATTTTACAGTATCTAGTTGGCTCAAGGGCCTGAGAGTCACTCCCTCTCCTCTCCCTCATCTCCTCTTACCTTGTCTAATACTCAGGGTCCCCAGCTTGGGGCTGGTGGAGGCTGGACCCTGGGTCTGGCTGGAGGTGGCTTGCTGGGCCTCCCCTCCACAGGGGGAATGTGCACAAGTCTGCTCCATTATTGACATCAGATTAGGGTCCCCTGGGTCCCTACTCTAAGCTTCCTGTAGGATCCAGGCAGGAGCATCTGTAATTACATCTCCCTCCTGCCTCCCACCTCTGAGCCCACTTGGCTCCGGTCTGGTTGCATCATGTCTGTGGGAGCCCCTCGGGAGATGGGGGACAGGGAGTGAGCCAGGGATGAGCTAGGGTGTGGAGGAGGAGGGAGGAGAGAAGCTGAGCGGGAAGGAGCTGGAAGGATTCTGGAATTCACAGATTCTACATCTTTACAGCTCAGAACCTGAACTACAGGAATCTAGGATCCCAGGACCTCTGAACGGCTGGAAGTCCAGTGTCTTTCAAGCCGTGGGCCAAGATCCTAGGGTCCTGTGCCCTGGGACTCCAGAGCTTGGCATCTCAGAAGTGTAAGGAGTTCTTGAGCCTAGGTTGTTTGGAGCTAGATCCTTCCAGTCCTGGAACCTCGGAGCTGTCTAATGCAAACCCTTTCTCCTTCACATCTCTAGTCTCGGGGGACAGCAACTATGGAGATGTAAGCAGCTGAATGGGCCCTGGGTTGGGGGACGGGAGGGCTGGCAGGATTGGGGCACTGAGCGGATCAGCAGGAGGTATCTTTCTGGAGGAGGAGGGAGGATGGGGAACAACGCTGGGGGAAAGGAGAAGCCAGAAGTCACAATCCAGGAAGGACAGGGCGGGTCCCCGTGTGCCCAGCCTCCATGAGAACAGATCTGAATAATCTTATTAGCCTTACCGCCTGATAGCAGCACCAGCTTCTGGTCACCAGCTGCTGTTTCCTGCTACCCCTGGGGTGGGGTGAAGTCAGCTCTGGGGCCAGGCCTAGGCTGGGGTCAGAGACAGGCCAAGAGGTAGAGCTGGCCGCAGGGCGAGGTGCTTGTTCCTCCAGAACCCAAGGGCTCTCAGCTGCCCTGTTCCAAGCTGTCTTCTGTCTGCACCCACATCGCACACTGTACCCCAACCCAGGTCCTCAGAGTGGGGCTTGGCCTGGCTGAAGGGGTAGGGCAGGGGAGGGGAAGCCTAGAGCCAGCATGAGCTGCAATCTTGGCCATCACTTCCTAGGGGAACGATTCAAACGAGTCCCATCTCACTCAATGCCCACAGCAGCCCTCAAGGTGACTCTGTTTATCCCCCCCCCTTTTTTTTGAGATGGAGTCTCGATCTGCTGCCCAGGCTGGAGTGCAGTGGTGCCCTCTTGGCTCACTATAACTTCTGCCCCCCAGGGTTCAAGTGATTCTCCTGTTCAGCCTCCTGAGCAGCTGGGATTACAGGTGCCTGCTACCATGCCTGACTTTTTTTTTTTTTTTTTTTTTTAAGACGGGGTTTCACTGTGTTGGTCAGGCTGGTCTTGAACTCCCGACCTCAGGTAATCTGCCCGCCTCGGCCTCCAAAGTGCCTGGATTACAGGCGTGAGCTACCACGCCTGGCCTAATTTTTTTATTTGTAGCAGAGACGGGGTTTCACCATGTTGGCCAGGCTGGTCTTGCTCTCCAGACCTCAGGTGATCCACCGCCTCAGCCTCCCAAAGTGCTGGGATTACAGGCATGAGTCACCGTGCCTGGCCTGTTTATCCCCATTTTACAGACAAGAAAAACAGGCATGGGGCCGGGTGCGGTTGGCTCACACCTGTAATCCCAGCACTTTGAGAGGCCAAGGCTGGCAGACCATTTGAGGTCAGGAATTTAAGACCAGCCTGGCCAACATGGTAAAACCTCATCTCTACTAAAAATACAAAAATCAGCTGGGTGTGGTGGGGTGACCTGTAATCCCAGCTATTAGGGAGGCTGAGGCAGGGGGACAGCTTGAACCCAGGTCAGAGTTTGCAGTGAGCTGAGACTGCACCACTGCGCTCCAGCCTGGGGACACAGCAAGACTCCGTCTCAAAAAAAAGAGACAGAGAGAGAAAAACAGGCATAAAGAGGTAACCAGCTGGGGTTTGAGACTGGAATGGGAGAATCTGATGGACAAGCACTTAGAAGAGGGTCAGGAAGTGGCCAGGCAGGACTTGAAGGCTGGGAAGTGAGGGGGTCTTCAGGTGAGGGGCATGGCCCAGACATAGGAAG